TATTTCTCTTTATCACACAATAGAGTATTTTATAATCCATAAAAACACAACCCCCCCCCCCCCCTCGCGTAGAATTGTATTATCTGAATACCCGTTTAGCTATAATTAACGTGATAAAGTTTCATGATCAAAGAACCATTTTATAAGAGTGTGAATAAACTGGGGGTTTTTTAAGTTAAAAATGAAGCAAGCCACCCTAATTACTACTTTAGTATTTCTGGCCATTAACTCTGAGAAGAGTGTTATATTTAATTTTTGTCAAAAACGTAAAACCTCCCAGTCATAGGGTTCTGATTTTCCCATCTCAAGCAAGAGAGTTCCTGGAAACGAGTTTGGCTTCCTGAATCAACGGTCGTGTAGTTAATGAAGTCTTAATTTAATAGATATAGACTCATAAAGGAATTATTTGTGAAGCACATAAATTTTAAGGGTTGGGCCACAAAGAGGTTTAAACCTAGGACGACAAGAGTATGTCATAGTACCCTTGAACCGAAAATTGGTACCCAAAACTCCCTCGTGTTCAATGTTATCTCCTCTTTTCGTGTCATTTTGTTTCATTGCGGTGATCATTTTAGGATCTATTTTTTTATACCCACTGAAGATCTGCACATTCCAAATGTTTGTGCCTTCTTCGACGTCGTAGAGGAACGCTAGTGTTTCGTCGGTTTCAGGAATGTAGTATGTGAAGATTCCAATAGTCCAATTTTCTCCATCATCTCCCACTATCAGTGCTTTGGCTGGTAATGACAAGATGAAAGTAAATGTGTTGTGTTATTGAATCAGTGTAACAGAAAACTGTAACTAAATGTCGTCAACACGCATCGGGTAAATGATGATGGTGATCAACTTTTTAAGGGGAATTGTTTATACACGACGGCGTGTATTAGAGGGAGTACTGCCAACCATCATCATCATCCGACCATTTACTTCTTCTTCTTCTTCTTCTTCTTCTTATTTTTCTTCTTCTTCATCATCATCATCACCACCACCACCACCACCACCACCATCATCATCATCATCATCATCATCATCATCATCATTATCATCATCATCCGATCATTTTCATCATTATTATTGCCATTATTACCATTGTCAGCATCTGGTAAGATATTTTCTAGAGGTAAACACAGTTTTCCAGATAATAGCTACATCATCTCCCAAATCGTTTTTACCCAGGTCTCTTAATAAAATCTCCATCTTTTATGGCTCCCTATTGGTCTTAGGACCGCCTTCTTCAGTTACGCACGCGCTTATCACTGGCGTTCAACTAAGCTCCGCCCCTGTGCTTGACCAAGAATTCCTAAATGATAATTAACTTAGAAATTTGCATTCAATTATTTTACGTTATCTTATAACTATTCTCTGTAGACCTTAAACAGGTCATAATCAGCGTCATCATCATCATGCCCACTTGGTTAGTTTCCCCAAACCGACAACAAGAAAATCAAAAATACTTTAAATGGGCAGAACTTCAGGAAGGGCCGTATTAGTGTCATTTTTGTAGTCCACTATTATCCATTCATGCCGAAGGTTGTTAGCAACGCTGACAGCAATCATGTTATCGTTACTCGGAACAATAGGAAATTCCAGAGCGAAGAAACATCCAAACCTACGAAATCGCTGCAATATTTACTCGCTTTTGCGCCCATGTAAGACAACTTTAAAAGTTTTCAATCCACGCAATAAGAGTACACTGATCAATTAATGGTACTGAAAATGTTTAGTCTAAGTGTAATCCATGTGTCATAATGGTTTTATAATAAAGATCGATTTGTTTTAGTGTAAGAGATTTAAAGATGGACGGTGTGCCTATTACTGGATCGAGCCACTTTAATAGTTTATTCTTTCTATCCAATGGAATAAAATGCGGAAAAATTGGTTTCCTGTCCTGTGTCTTTCTTTACCCTGTACCGGCCCTTACCAAAAAAAATTAAAATAAAGCTTAAGTTAAATTACAATAAAAGCTAAGTTCTGCTATATCAAAGTCAAGATTACTCAAATATTCTTTAATAATGAAACGGATTGATGAAGCCACCGTGATTTCAGTCACGTGATCCCAGAAGTGTCGCGACCAAACACAGGGATCTAAGTATTTTTTAAAATGGTTCTTATATTTCACCAATGGAAACTAGTCGAATTTCTAATTCTTCTCATATGCGTGGTGTATTTTGGTGAAGCAAAAAAGCATATCAAAGAAAATGACGGTAAGTGGTGGCGCGCTTATTTACCTGTCTAATTTAGTCAACAGTGGAACGTTATGAAATATCAATTTAGAAATGATCGACTTCGTTTACTGTCGATTGAAGAAAACACATAGCAGTTATACTAAAAAACTCTTTTCACGCACCGGAAAGAACTGTTCACTGGTGTTTATGTCAGTCTGGTAGCGATCTCTATGTTGGGACGAGTGCGTAAAAGGTAAAACAAATAGTTTACGAAATCAAACAAAATGCTAATTATCATGTTATGGAAATAGAATGACTCTGAAAGACACAACAAAATGCTTCTCTGCTGATGTGTAAGCATAGCTTTTTAGTATTCAATAGATTAACGTTGCATCTTTTTGCATCCAAAATATCTAACATTTCTTATTCCAGTATCTTCATCTAGTCTCGTCTTAGTTTCGAATCAGTCTTAATGCCACCTGTCTCTAAAAGTTCCTTTAACAACCTGCCGCCTCTCACTGTAGTTTTGTTTGTTGATTAAACATATAACCTGCAGACTCATCAAGCCACGAAGACGAGACGAAGTCTACATTTGTCACAATAAGAATCCCCACCAATAAAAAAGGTACGGTATTGAGTATCGTTAAGAAAGCTTCACTTTCTGACACGTTTAATAGGAAATTTTATCCTGAGGTGTGAGAACATTTAACACTAAGGTCGTCTATATATGTAAGGGAATCCAAGACAGTCTTGGATTCTAGATTCCACCCGTGGATTGCGGATTTCAGATACTGGATTTCGGATTCTTTGTCAGTAGAGCTTGGATTCTGGATTCCAATCGTTAGTGGGATTCCGGAATCCTTAAGTTGTATTCCGGATTCCAAGGCTCAGGATTCCGTATTCTCTTATTTTAGATTGGAGATTGCCAGGCATTAAAGAGTGTTCAGATTTTAGTACTGTCTACTAAGCTAGACAGACCTTTATTTATCGAGACATGGTTTCCTTGGTATACGCTGCGAGAGAGAACAGTAGATC